TTACCTAATGGTAGCTATCGAGTACCAGACAAACCCTTTCATAATCCAAAAATTACGAAATAAACGAATTTATATGAAAAGTAAAATAATGATATGTTGGTTACAATGCATTGTGGGAATATATGTTCTTGTGAGGATAAACGATGTGCAACTAACACTTCCTGGCAGTGCATTCCTAGGCCCCGTTCGCCAGTTCAACAGAAGGCCATATATTTTTGAAGCAGAGAAGTCTGGTAAACAATGTGGGCTAGTAGTATGAAACTAAAATAAGTGAAGTTAAAATAGATAATATTTGTCTAGCACTCAATAATAAAGCTATGTTTTAAGCGAAGTTGAGGCGTCCATTCAGTCCTGATGGCTTTACGGTGTTTAGTTTGAATACGAAGTGGCCTGTCCTTTTTGTCGTCTCAGTCCCCTCACCAGAGACCAAGACAAGGGCATGCAACCAACATGTGGCTGTGGTCCCAGCTGTTGAAGTGACACGTCAGATATAATTTAGAATAATGAAGCACACTCGTGTGAGTGGGTCACATGACTCACATTGCCAGTTATACTTTATCTATTTTTAGTTATTTGCTTTTCTTCACTATACTTTGCACTCTGGTAGTTTTTTTTACTGTTTGTTGTTGTAACTTTCTGACACGTCCCTACTGGACAGCTGTGAAAAAGAGCCGCATAGCTCATCGGATGTCTTCAAGATAAATAAAGATGTTGAGTCTTGGTTACCACCATAATGCAGCAGGGACAACAATATTCAGATTCTACCACCTCGTACTACACTAGATAACAGCAATTCAATTACATTGTGGAGTGAATCGGTTACAATCAATTACATATTGCACTCGCAAGACACGCATTGAATTGTGGGGCATGAGAGTGGAATATTAACGATTCGCTGATGTGTCTCTACCATGGCGTAGCGGGTAACATATGCCGATTAAACATTTCCTGTTTAGGCACATTGGTTTGTTGCTTCCATTCTTCACTTCAGTTTCCCCAAGGCACTTAAACCGGCTCTTGTTCACCTTTCTAGGTGTATGGATTCGTAGTCCACGTTCATGCATTCATAGCCTAGACAAGTGGTCACTTGAAGTGATCTCAGACGTAACTCTGTGATGGCCACTTCTGTGGGCCATTCTCTATACCTTTGAGGGTTGCACTGCTCCGAAAGCAATTTTACTAAGCTATTCGTCTCGTGACACGACACCGATCATGTTAAAATTGCGGCTGAAAGGCAAAAAATATGGTTGAAATGTGACACCCGAAAACCTTTTATTCACGTGGAAAAACATGGGCTCTAAAATCACAGAGAGGTGTCAAATCTACAGGGGTGGGAGGATGACGGCCAGTGGCTAGACTTTTCCCAGCTGTCCTACCTGCCCAAGAAAACAGTGTCCACGTGAATCATGAGGACCCTTCCTGTTCTTCGTAAGCATTGAAATGAACCGTGCATTCTGCAGTGTCCCACAAGTGCAGGGCTCGGCAACCCGCGGCTCCGAAGCAGCATGCAGCTCTTTGAGGACGACGACTCCGTGACGTTGTTTGTTAAGGACCACATCCGTCTCGTATTCACACGCATCGTGGCTCTCGAGAGAAATTGAGGGTTTTTTTTTTACGAATTCTTAAACAATGGCACTTGTTGTGTTGCTTGCCGAGCTCTGCACGAGTGGCTATGCAGGTACAGTAGAAGCCTTCCACAAGCCAAGGCTAACGCAACATGCAGTTCCTTTCTGAACAAAATCTATACAAACCCATACCTCCGTACTCTTAGGTTTTTTCGGTAAAGTCACGTAGGTAAAATAAAAATAATAATGAAATAAAAATAATAAATTAAAAATAACTAAATTAAATCACGACGTTTCGGAGGCAACACAAGTCTCCGTCTTCAGGTGGGACCGTCACAGCTAAATTTACTGTATCAAGTGAAGAGAAATCCAAGAGACAAGATCTTAAATACTGCTTAATGTGTCAGTCAGGGACAGTCCCTGACTGCCACATTTAGATAAGCCCCTCCCCTTAACCAGTATTTAAGATATTGTCTCTTGGATTTATCTCCACTTGACACAGTACATTTAGCTGTGATGGTCCCACCTGAAGACGGAGACTTGTATTGCCTCCGAAACGTCGTGATTTAATTTAGTTATTTTTCATTTATTATTATTTTATTGTTATTTTACGTAAGTGACTTTACCGAAAAAAACCTAAAAGTATGAGTCCTTGCAGTCACAAAAGCTTCAAATCTAGAACCATATCTCCGTGTTTTTTTGTTTCTGCATCTTTTCACGAGTATATCCTTTGAATATATAACTCGTCGTAAAGAGGACCACATCTCAAGACTCACGTCCATCTACAAATAAATGTTTATTGTTTTCACAGCAGGAAAAGATGGTTAGCATTCTAAAGGCTAAGGGAGCGGGGAGGGGAGAGGAGGCGGTGGGGTTGAGATGTCAATAATGGTGAGGTGCGGAAAGAAAGACACTTCGTGGGGATGAGAGACACAGTCACACGCCGAACACGAATACAAACATTTTATTTCGTGACCACTACTGGCTCCGCAAAGGCCAAGCAGGAGAAGTGGTCTCGGAACTGCTCGCCGACACTTTAATCTGCAGTCGTTTTCGCTTCAAGTTCAAGTTCATTTATTAGGTATAGCCATGTGAGCCATTCGGCTCTTGAATCGGGTGCAACCGCAACAAACAAAAAACAAAAACATAAACAAGAAAACATCTTAAAGTGACTATGTGCAAACAGAAAATCCAAGAAAAGACAGCAAAATATTGCAGAAAAAGCACCGTACACCAACACTGTGTGCAAAAATCCCAGTGGGATGCAAGTCAAACAACAACAACAACCACAAGACAACTTAGATTAAGGCCATCAGTCTAACTCTGTACTACAACAAACAAACATGGCCAAACCGAAAAACTTTTCGAAAATCACCAAAATAAAGCCATAAAAGCAATGAAACAGTGATCATAGGAACTGTGACCGAATTTTCACAATAAACGACGTCAACAACATGTACTACCAAAACCCTGCAGCCATAGCTGGCTGCATGAGTCACTCCACAACAGCAGGAGCGTCAGTCGGAGTGTCAACATTTTTCAATGCACATGCCCATTGGTGCCCGGTGGAACGCAAAGAAAGAAGAAGTCCCCTGGGTTGACAGCAAGCGGTCTGCAGGTTCCAGAGAGCCCACTGCGCTGTGATGTGTACCCTAGTGAAACCAGCGCCGCAGTCCATTCATTTCCAAAACACTGGAATTTGGCTCCTCTCCCCGTGCATGGCGGATGATGCTCAGAGCTGTTCCACTTTACATTTTTATGCATTTGGCGCAGTGGCTCTCATGCCATATAAGGTGCGAGTGAAAAGGAGACTATCGAGTGTGCTCACAATATATCCACACAACGTTGACAAACTGACTCATTACATAAGACTCCTTCAAAGCGTTCGTTTATTATATGTGGAGACAACCCAACGTCAGAATACGAACGTTTTCACATGAAGCTATGGTGAGATGCATGAATATATCCTTCAAAACAAAATGTTATACGCATGCATGTGCAAGATTCCATGCATATGCCATACATTGTAGTATATACATTGTACATGCACGGTAGCATCTACAATGTAAATACATGCACATGCTACTGATCCGTTTGAAGAGATTAAACAGAAATCTAAAAGAGGTCTAACTAACCGACTATCGTGCTGTTGAGTAACTTGGAGTTGCAACCACAAGAGTAATTCGCGGCTATTTGTCAATCCACTGCTGGATGAAGCCATCCCCTTGCGGTGTTCGTCATGCGGGGTTGTTTGGCCACACACTTAAACTAGCAATAACAAGCAGACGCATTTGTCCAGTGCCATATTCCTGGGGAGAATGTCACGAGGCCGAGGCCTGCGGGGACACTCGAGTGTCGAGGCGCTGTGAACTTTCGGCCCAAGCTACCAAAGGCTGCTACACTCATTCGCTGATTTCATCACTCCATCTCCTCGGTAGACGGCTTCCCACGGTTGCGTTCCGTTCATTGGCTGCCACTGCTTAGTTATTCTAGACCATCGCTCACCATCCATCGCTTTCTGCCACGTGTCCCGCCCGAACCAACTGATTACTCTTTTCGGGCAGTGTTATTGACGAACGTGTTGATATTGTGTGCGTCTGTTTGTGCTGGTGCACCGCTGTTAACGCAGTTCCACACAGCAAGTGTTGCTCTAATCAAAAGCCATGACGGTTGCGGCGGACATAGCCAACTGCGTCTTTAAGACGGATGCTCTGAACTTTTTTCTTTTCTTACCGGGAATATTTTTTTTTTCATTGTGCGTGCATGAGAATGCGTGTGTGTATCTGTGTGGGGAGGGGCAGTGTAGTGGTCATTGGTGCACTGCGCTACGAACCCGGCCATCCGAGTTCGAGCCCTGTTCACGACCAACACGAGCCGGTGTTCTCAGAACCTGTGTTGCTTCCCCTTTGATTAGTGTCTCTTAACATTTGCTGCAGCCTTGCACCCCTTTAGTTCTCAATCGTAAAAAAAAAAATGTATGTTAATAAATACTTAGGTTTGATGAAACAAAGTAGTTGTCCTTACGTGGCCGTGCTGAATTTGTGATTTGATTATTTACACTCTAAAACAAAACAATGTGGAATTTATCGCACCCCCAGAAAGGGCATCTCGCACCCCCAGTGGGTGCGTGCCCCCCCCCCCCCCCCAGATCGAGAACCACTGCCTTAGATCGACTTGGCCACAAATGAGTACCCGGTGCGATGTGTGTGTATATGCATCAGCGCTGGAGAGACAAAGGTGGCCGGGCGTGGTGCTTCCCCCCCACCCCCCGCACTTCCTCCGTGTACCCTTCATCTGTGCTCGCGAACAGCACTTGCCCCAACATTCCGTCAAAGGTCTATCGGGGGTGTGGGGGGGTGTGTGGGGCGGGCGGGCGGGGGGAATCTTTGTCTTCGCGTGTGCCGCGCCAGACGTGGACTTGAGTTGGAAGGGCAGTGTGAGAATGCGAGAGGGACCGGCGCGGCCAATAGAATCGCTCGGGATGCCCCCGCGCGCAACGTGGCCGCGCCGCCACGGAGCCTCCGACGCCCCGCGCGTCCGCACACGGACGGACGGACCCACCCCGCGCCGATCGAGTGCGCAATAGTTGCTCGCAAACACGCTTAATGCGGCGGCGGCGCTTTTAATCAAGAGGCAGCCAGGCAACACTTCGGAGAATAAGAAGAAGGAGGAGGAGGAGCGAGAGGGCGACGAGCAGTGCTGCTCGGGTGTTGGTGGTGGTGGGTGGGGGGGTGAGGTCTGGGGGTTTGGGTTGCGGTGGGGGTTGGGTAAGCGTTGCTGGTCGCTGTCGGCGTTAAAAAGTTAAAAAGAAGAAACCGGACACGCAGCGAGGCGACGACGATTAACCGACGACGTCGACTACGACGCAGTGAGGGGTGGGAGGAGGGGGTGGCGGGGGGGTGGCGTGTGGCAATTAAATGTCCTGCTTGACCCAGGTGCCGGCCGGGAGGGCGCCCCAGGGGCCCGTGGCACCGGCGCTGCTGCAGAGCCCCGTGGGGATGGCGCAGGGCTTGGTGACGCTGGCGGGCGTCGCACCGGTTCCCGTGGCCGCCGCGTCGTCGTCGTCGGTGCCGGCCTTCATCGCCGAGATCTTCGGCGCCTCCCTGCCGACGGCGAGCGGCGCCGGCTCGCTGCTCGCCTTCAGCTCGGAGCAGGTGGCCTGCGGCGTGCGAGGCGCTGCTCCGCGGAGGGGACATGGAGCGCCTGGGCCGCTTCGTGCACTCCCTGCCCACGGCCGATCTGCTGCGCAGCAGCGAGGTGGTGGTCAAGGCGAGGGCGCTGGTGGCCTTCCACTCGGGCCGCTTCCAGGAGCTCTACTCCATCCTCGAGTCCCACCACTTCCAGCCGCACAGCCACGCGCTCATGCAGGGACTGTGGTACCGCGCGCGCTACTCGGACGCCGAGCGGCTCCGGGGAAGAGCTCTCTGCGCCGTTGACAAGTACCGGCTGAGACGCAAGTTCCCGCTGCCCAGGACCATCTGGGACGGCGAGGAGACGGTGTACTGCTTCAAGGAGAAGTCGCGGAACTTCCTCAAGGATTGCTACAGGAGGACGAGGTACCCGGCGCCCGACGAGAAGAGGCGTCTGGCCAAGCTCACGGGGCTCTCCGTCGTCCAAGTGAGCAACTGGTTCAAGAACAGGCGGCAGAGAGAGCGCGGCCCGCAAGACGGAACTCACTTGAAAAGGTCCGTTCCCGGATTTTGGTTTCGCATCTTTTAGCAGCGAGCTTGCTTGTAACCGTCGAGCATTCATGCACACGCAAGGCAGAGGGCTCGTCCTGGTTACGCGTCTTGTCTCAGTTGGATAACTATTGTGACTATGGCCAGGGCTTAGCGCTTACATTTAGCAGCACTGCACCAGCTCGAGGCTGACTTGGAGTCAGGGGTATCGGTGTAAGGCACTACCACTAGAGTACCCGTTACGCCAATCGTCGAGGTGGATGCGGCGTTGCCAACACAATTCCTCGGAACAACGTTCCGTACCGTTGCGGCTGGAATATAACATCATTCCCAACGGACTGTTAAATATTAACTTTTGTACAACCAGCGAGCAAAAAAGCGCGCAATGAATCACCTCTCTGCCGCATGAAGGATGCGGGTCCCACCTGTACCATTGGTACGAGGCCTGTCGGCCCTTGCACGCCGGCAGGCTCAATGCTGCTGGTGCTTCGAGTCCTCAATTCGACATTCCGAGTGCAGGCTTAGTGGACGTGTCGCGTCTATATATGCTGGGTGTGCGCTCCGCACAGCTGAGCTGCAACTTGAGACCGTCAGCATTTATGTAGCAATTCGTGCCGCGGCCACCTCGTTCTGTAATCACGCCCCTTGCTGATTAGCAACCAAATCCCCACCACCACCACTCCCCAGAAGAATGACCCCCGTCATTAGTCCGGTGTTTGATATTTATTGTCTCGGAAATAGACCTTTCATGACACCCACAGCATGAGATTGGATAATCCGTCACCGTTCTTTCTGGATAATTATAGAATAAGGTCTCCCATGGGTCAGTCCACTGCTGCATGTTGTTGAGGGCGATATTGGCACGTAAAATCAAGATGCCTTGATTGGATGAAAGGCCTACCTACTGTGTCGATGATGGAGGAAGGGGGGTATTGTTTGGCCATACTTCACCACACTGCTCACTTACGGGATGTTGAAGGGTTGCGTGGTGGAGGAGGGCTAGGGGCGAAGGGCCGTTTGAGATACCATGAGCCACTGGGGTTAGCCGTGACCAGGGGTCAAATTCAAGATCCCGGGTTCGGAGGGCAGAGCACTGACGCCTGCACCACGGCTCCCTCCACCCCTTTTCCCTATACAGAACATGTATTAAGTAGCATGTCTTGACACACTATTCTCAGATCATGAATGCATGATGTCAAGATTCATAGTTTATTTTGGGGTTAAATCGCGGCGGTAAAATATGTCATCCTGTTAACTATAACCCTCCACCACCCGACAGAGCCAATCAAATCAAGTTGTCACTTGATGGGCAATTATGCCACATGATTTGGCCACGTGACAGCTACACGGAGGCTATGATATGTTAACTCCCTCACCTCGAGTCTGCAGGAGGCCATGAGTTCGATCCCGACCCTGACGCAAGTATATTTGGAGATAGCGGTGTCTCTCTCTCCCTGGTCGTGTGGAGTTTTCTCCGGGTCCTCCGATTTTTTTTCCCCCGCCACGTTTAGAAACGTGAGTTTAGAGGAGTATTTGTCTGCTAAAAATGTCCACGTGAGACAACTCCGGTGAGCTATCATTTGTGGTCAGCTCGCTTCGGGAAAAGAGCTATATAGCTCAGTGGGCCTTGCGTGGCACATACAAAGTTAGTGATGTATAAAATTAACATGTTGAATTAAAGGGTTTTGGGGGAAGAAAAAAAACCCGTTCCGAAAGTCCCTTTAACATACAAGTGAGATTTAACATTTGTATAACAGATGGCAGGAAGGCGGGGAGGGGAGGGGCATTGACACTGGTGGCTTGTGATATTAATCGAGAATTATTTTTGATTATTTCCGTCACGCTATGAACCCAGCGACCAGAGTTTGATTACCAGCCACGCTTAACAACATCAGGGGCGGGGTGTGAAGAGTGATATCTGAACCGGCCCTCCTCCCCCCTGTGTTTTCTGGTTGTGCCACGGTGTTGCTCGGCACGAGGTTCCGACGTTTCGCGGCACATTTCAACTCCGCTTCCTTGAAGAAGCTTCCCGACACGTGGAGCGCTCACCCGAGTTCTGCACGGTGCACAGTCAAAGCGACTTGCTGCTCAAGCGAGCATCGAAACAGCTGCACGTCTCTGCCTGTAGAGCCCGGAGCCGGCGGTGGACATTCCACATTGCCATGGCGGGGCGAGTCTATCCGGGGCGAGATGTTAACTACCTCGCCTTGTATACAGGAGGTCGTGGGTTCGATTCCGACCCTGACGCCTGCTGCTGTATATTTGGTGTTTGCATGGTCTCTCTCTCCCCATGGTCGCGTGGATTTCTCTCCTAGTCCCTCGGTTTTTATTCCCTCCACATTTAGAATCAACATCACGCGTTTAGAGTGTTGGGCTGATGTAATAATTTCCACACGAATACGCCACTTCGTTGAGCTATCATTTGTGGCCAAGCCGCTTCTATATAAAATAAAAGTTTAGTTTAAATCATTGATATCTACGTGACAACCACCGTCGACTGCTGCACGAAGTGGTATTTTGTTGTTGTTGTAGTTGTTGCTGTTGTCTATGGCGCTGGCTCCTCGTAGAGAGACGGGGGGAGCGAGCGAGCGAGCGAGAGAGAGAAAGAGAGCGGTGGTTATTCTGTGCGTGGCCACGCAGCACGATAGTTCGTGGTGGTGTACAGTGAGAACGGCTGCCCCCACAAGGATGGAGGGGCCCCGTGTTGGGGTGGTGGTGGTTGTGATGGTGGGGGGGGTAGAGACGGGGTGGGGGTGGTGGTGGGGGGGGGGTAGAGACGGGGTGGGGGTGGTGGTTGTGATGGGGGGGGGGTAGAGACGGGGTGGTGGTGGTGGTTGTGATGGGGGGGGGTAGAGACGGGGTGGTGGTGGTGGTGGTTGTGATGGTGGGGGGGGGGGGTAGAGACGGGGTGGGGGTGGTGGTGGTGGTGGTGGTTGTGATGGTGGGGGGGGGGTAGAGACGGGGTGGGGGTGGTGGTGGTTGTGATGGTGGGGGGGGGTAGAGACGGGGTGGGGGTGGTGGTGGTTGTGATGGTGGGGGGGGGGTAGAGACGGGGTGGTGGTGGTGGTGGTTGTGATGGTGGGGGGGGGTAGAGACGGGGTGGGGTGGTGGTGGTGGTGGTGGTTGTGGTTGTGATGGTGGGGGGGGGGTAGAGACGGGGTGGGGGTGGTGGTGGTTGTGATGGTGGGGGGGGGGGGTAGAGACGGGGTGGGGGTGGTGGTGGTTGTGATGGTGGGGGGGGGGGGGGTAGAGACGGGGTGGGGGTGGTGGTGGTTGTGATGGTGGGGGGGGGGTAGAGACGGGGTGGGGGTGGTGGTGGTTGTGATGGTGGGGGGGGGGTAGAGACGGGGTGGGGGTGGTGGTGGTTGTGATGGTGGGGGGGGGGGGTAGAGACGGGGTGGGGGTGGTGGTGGTTGTGATGGTGGGGGGGGGGGTAGAGACGGGGTGGGGGTGGTGGTGGTTGTGATGGTGGGGGGGGGGTAGAGACGGGGTGGGGGTGGTGGTGGTTGTGATGGTGGGGGGGGGGGTAGAGACGGGGTGGGGGTGGTGGTGGTTGTGATGGTGGGGGGGGGGGGTAGAGACGGGGTGGGGGTGGTGGTGGTTGTGATGGTGGGGGGGGTAGAGACGGGGTGGGGGTGGTGGTGGTGGTTGTGGGGGGGTGGTGCTCCTGCAGATGTATGTGATGGCATGCGGTAAGGGAGGCTCCGCCCGCGTTTGGCCTCCGCCGCCGCTCGGAGCGAATGTGGAGCGCACATTTCTTCCCAGAGCGCCGTGGTCGTGTCCGTTCGTGTTTCCCCAAAAAGTTGCCGTGTTGTGCCCGTGTTTATTTCGTGGGTTAAAAAAAATAAGTTTGTCTTTCCCCCCACCCCCCGCCACTAAAAAACCTCCCTCCCACGCACCGCACCCCCCCCCCCAACTGAGCAATTCTAAACCTTTTTGCCTTGGCAACTTTGTTACGGTTGACTCGTGTGAACGGATGACAACAACGGCTTGTTTGAGTCTTCAAGACGTGATTAGCCGTCATTTCACGTGAAGTCACCATGTATGTTGTTCACGTACTTTGATTTGTGTAGCGATACGTTGTGGTGGTATGGCATGGTAGCCATACCACCACAATGCATGAGGTATCCAGATGAGTTTACTTAACATGCATGGTGAGCAGGTTTGTGTATGTGTGTTGAACTTCTTTCGCACCGTACGTATCCAACCGTGCTATTTGGAGGTGCGGGGGAAAGACAACAATCCAACCACGATAAAAATCAGTTCTCAAGAAATTAGTTTTAACATTTCGAAAATTTAGTTTTCAATTTTCAGTTATGGTATACAAATGGGAAGCACACTGGGCTACGGACCAAGCGACTTGAGTTCGATTCCCGGCCATGGCCAACATCAGTGACGAGTGATATCAGAACCGGTTCTGGGCTCCCACTTCACCAATCCACACTGACCAGCAAGGTGAAGTATGACAAACCACGATCACGACTGACATGCGAAAGGTGAGGCCTTCATCCATTGGTGGATTGACAAAGACTGAAATAAAAAAAAATATGAACTGCATGCACACTGTACTTAGGAAAGCAAATTAGGATTAAATCAACAAGCAACATCCTTTTCCAAACAATATATGGCAGGGACACGTGTTGAATATGCGGTGATGGCATTGGAATTTTAAGTCCAGAGGGATTAACCGGACAGTTTAATGGGTTCATAGATGAAAGTGAATTGAGTAGAGAAAAAGTGCAGTGCTGTTAGGTGCAGTTACGATGCTAATGGGACAATCATTTCAGCAGAAAGTGACACCAATTGAAGCAGAGATTTCCATATGTGCATCAGATGATATCGTCAGCCATGGTCAGTTCGCTGCTGGATGAAGACCTCCCCCAATCTGGCACGTACGGTGCGAAAGAAGTTCAACGTACATGCATACTTCGCACAATCGTGCAGTGTAATGATCCATCTAGCACCTGCGCACAGGCTGATTTCATCATTCCATCTCCCCGGTGGAACCTTATCTTAGATGCATTTCGTTCGTTGGCTGATATTCCGTCATTACAGTGTTATTGACCATCTACCATTAGTTCTTACAGTGACGTATCCTGCCCAAGCCCAATTTATTTTCATTACACGCCTGCTTACGTTCTTTATTCTACGTAATTCTCTTTCAGCCTCTCAACATAACTCCAAGCAGACTTATTCTCTTAAATGTACAGATGTGTCTGTATGAATATGAAATATCGACTCGGTGAACGTGACAGGACTTACATAATAATGCTCACGTGACGCGGAGATCGTGTTTACTCGGTGCCGGGTGTGATTTTTCTCCACAGTGAAAACGACACCGACGATGGCGAGCAAAGTGCGAAAGAGGATCACGTGGACTTTCAGGAGCAGCACATGCTCAACCTTTCACCTCCGACAGAGGCGGACGGCAACACCATGTCGAACAACCAAGAGGTCGAGTCCCTTCTGGAAGAAGTCTTCTCCTCCGACTCCTCGTTCAGCAATCAGATGACTCCACTGCTGTCGCCGTGCATGTCGGACCACGATCCCATTGACCCTTTGGACGACAGCCCCTTTCCAGACATGGAGAGCGGCGCCGGTCCCGTCGGAGACGCGAACCCGAGCGAGCGCGACGCCGCCGTCGCGAGCGCCGTCGCCCAAACGCACGGCGCCGCCGCCACCGCCACGACCGGCAAGAGCGGCCGTCTGGCCGGTCACGGCGCCGCTGGTGCCGCTGGTGCCGCCAACCCGACCCTTCGCTTCAAAACCGCTTGCGCGGACAGCAACGCCACCTTCTTCAGCACGGCCCAGGTCGGAGGCGGAGTCGCCTTTCAGCCTGTGACGACGCAGTTCACGTCACAGACCGTGACTCCGGTGGCCTCCTTGCTGCCGATGAGTGCCGCTGGCCCCATGTATCTGCCCCCGCTGCAGGTGACCGGTGCCACCCATCACCAGCCCGTGCAGTTCGTGCCCTACAGCCCCGTCCAGATGGCGTACCCCGCCGTGGGGAATGGAGGCGCCATGCCAGTCATCGGCGGCATGGGGCTGCCGACAATTCAGCTGCCTTCAATATCGCCATTACAGACGGCAGGTTATTTGGTTTCTTTACGTTTTATCGCATCTGGAAATAAATCACCGTTTACACACGTGAACGCATATTCAGCTTTCTTACGTTTTCATTGCGTAAACTGTTTTGTTTTTTATTTCATTCGTCAACATTTTGTAATTTTATAAGGCGTATACTTTGTAGTTGGGCAGAGCGGTGGGGCAGTGGGTAGCGCACGGTGCTACGAACCCGGCTATCAACTTGCGTTCTATTTCCGGCCACGGCTCACAATGGTGGCACGTGATATCTCAACCAGTTCTGGGCTCCTGCGTTCACCAACCCCCCACTGACCAGTGTGGTGAAGTATGGTCAAACAACCCTCCATGAATGATACTGCATGGGGGAGACTTACATCTAGCAGTTGGTTGATGTAGCTCTGAAAATGTTTACTATTCCATGTTTAAGGGATGAGGATTCATATGAAAGTTACCTAACAGTCTAAAATTAAGAGTGTTTAATTGATTAACCTGCGGTTAGACGCTAGGGCGATTTAAAAAAAAATACTCTAAACCGAAGCATTGTTTGCTATAAATGTTTAGCACACGTGTTGTAAAACTATGCCACAAACCCCCGTTATCAATGACCTTGTATTGGGGCCAAACCCATTGCGTTTGTGTTCTTCCAGCAGGGAACATCCTGGTGTCGAATACGCTCGCTGGTGGCGACCTGTTAAATGGAAACACCGTGGCCACGAGCACCACAGGCATCCTCATCACCAACGCTCTTGCACCAGGCACGATGCTCTGCTCCATGCCTCACGTGAGCCTAATGACGGTCATCACTCAAGACGGGAGCCTAGCCCTGACACCTGTGTTTAACATTCCCGGTGGAATATATTCGGATGGCATCTCAACCTCGAACATTATTCCGTGCGCTGGAAACTACCTTGCGTTGACTAATAATAACATATCTCCCCTGATGATCCAGGGAATTCCTGGCAACGGGATCGTAGGAATGGGTGGCTTGGCTCCGAGTCTGCCAACGGTCAGCCAAACGGCGGATGCCATTGCGGGTCAGATGGGCAGCGCCACGCTTTTTTCCAGGACGGTCAGCACCGCGCTGATGCCAACGACGCTAAACACCAACGCGTTAGCGATGCAGCAGACGTATTTGTACAATCACGCCGGAGGGTTAGACAGCGCAGCCGTGCAAGTGGTGTACGCCGAGGCTCCGCCCGTGTACACCCCCATGCCCGTCGGAGCGCCGGCAGAATCGGCGGTTTACAAATCGGCGAACGAGGCGATTTCGGCCATCGCGGATTGCTGCTACGAAGACCTCAACACGAGCAGCAGCGACTCGACGGACAACAAGTCGGAGGCGGACAGCCTGCTCGGCTCTCCGCTCGACCTCTCCGGGAGCATGGGCGCCGTCGGCAACGCGGAGAATGAGGGCAAGGAGGAGGGGTCCGAGATGACCGCGGACAGTCACGACGACTTTGTTCATGGCCTGCTTCCCAAGATGACCAGTGCCCCCGACGATGACAATTTCTACGATTTTGATGATTTTTAATCGGGTTGCGCCGAATAGCACTCTTTACCGTTTGGCTGAATAATTAAAACCGAAACACATATTCATCCAAATTTCAATTTAAAGCTGAATAGTGAAGGCCACCAAACTCACGTAATTATCTGACCCAACTCAATGTGCGCTCACACCTGACTCACCTCCCCTCACCTCCATCACTTCTCTCTCCCACCTAACTCACATCCATTCTTTGATTTAAGGCTTTCGTGACTACAGGGATTCATATGCTTGATTCTTTCGGTAAAGGCACATAGAAGGGAAATAAAAAAATAATAAGAAATATTAATTTTAAATAAGTAACAAATTATTGCTTTATATTTTTATTATTTTATTATTTCCCTTCTACGTGACTTTACCGAAAGAACCAAGAATATCGCATCATTCTCTTACTCAACTCAATGTGCGCTCTCACCTAACTCACCTCCCCTCACCTCCATCACTTGCCTCTCCCACCGTACTCACTACGCTCTCACCTTACTCACTCCCCCTCTTAAATCTCTCAAATCCCTTTCTCGCCCAACTCACATCCCCCTCTCACTGCCCTCTCACTTCTCTCGCCTAATTCTCTTTCCCCTCTCTCGCCGAACTCACTGCGCTCCCTCACCACGCATCTCCGTCTCAAAGCGCGTACCAATGTGGAGCGTCGCACACGCATCTCTACAGAAGTTGGCAGAGCGACACTCTCACACACCATGCTGTTATTGGTGAACGAAGTGGCTGTGAGCGGTCACAAAATATATTTTTTTAAACGATTGGAAAATCGAGGGTGCTATTATGCAACTTTTCGGCCCAATCAGAATAGCTGAAAGATAGCCGCTGTTTGGACAAAATTCTGAAGTTAATAGAATATTTCAGCGCATCCATATTTTGTATGATTATTAACTATATCTTTACGTCTATTCAAACCAAATAAGCTACCTATGTTGCTTACCAATATAAATAGTTTTATTTGAAGCAATGTAAACATCTGCTCGAATTTTTTTTTATTATTATTATTATTATGCGGTGCATTATCGTATTAGCATGTTATTTCAAGTATATCAAGCTTTTGCAAAACCAAAGCTTCGAACAAACCTCTCTGCCAAGACGGTTCATGCCTTGCCTCAGTAGAAGATGATTCTAGCCTCAGCCGAAGTGGCAAAACCACAACTCTTTGGTGCTTATGCTATTTCAAAGATCATCCTAGGAGGCTCATGAGGGATTGTGAAGGCTCGCCCCAATTCTGCACACGGGCAAGATACGATGCAGATTCTGTGGCCTACTTGACAAGAGCCCAGAACATGTCAAAACCCTGGGTTGGTGTAAGCCTGCTTGGCAACAGCTGCTGGTAATGGTACTAAGAGGTCGTCATAGACTTCGAATAGCTAAGTTTGCCACCTATCCTGGAATTGTCATCTGTGGTAGATCTGATGGTGTAATTGTTTTGAATTTAATTACAGTACACTGCACCGTTTTAATAGACCTAGGCTGGCTCAGAAATATGTCCGGGTTTGGATTTTAGATATAGGTCACATTCCTAGGGATAAGTGACCATCTTTTATAGTCTTTATATCAGTATTGGACTGAAATGTCCCAACGTTTTTGCACATTTCAGCTGAAGGTGTATGTTATTGCATGTTTGTTTGAAGATGGGCACAAAGAGATGCATTTTGAAAGGTGATTAATAGACTTGAAGGGCAGTTTAAACTTTTCTTTAAACAACATTAGTCTCCAATGCCCACCTTGACAGGAGTACGTATTGGCAGGGACACACACCACTCTGGAAGCTGTAGGTGTCTCCATATTCACACGGGGTTGGGATGTGGCACAACACTTCGGACAGAAATCACGGTAGTTTTTTAATCTGCGAATTTCTCCATTCAACAGGGTGAATTATGCGGATCGTTTTTTTTTATTTTGACCGATGAAAACCAAGCACCACTCACTAATTGGGACTCCCCTAGCTACCCTACCCCCGTGCGGCTCGTGTGGATGGGAATACGAAAGGATTTTGACAGCAGCATGAGTCCATAGGCCACAGCAAAAAACGGGTACCACGGCACTTACCAAAACTTTACTGGTTTCAAGTTTCATTGATTAGGTATAGCCCTGTGAGCCATTCGGCTCTTGAATCGGGTGCAACCGCAACAAAAAAAAAACAAAAACATGAACAAGAAAACATCTTAAAGTGACTATGTGCAAACAGAAAATCCAAGAAAAGACAGCAAAATATTGAATAAAAAGCACCGTACACCAACGCTGTGTGCAAAAATCCCAGTGGGATGCAAGTCAAACAACCACAAGACAACTTAGATTAAGGCCATCAGTCTAACTCTGTACTACAACAAACAAACATGGCCAAACCGAAAAACTTTTCAAAAATCACCAAAATAAAGCCATAAAAGCAATGAAACAGTGATCATAGGATCACTGGTGCTGACATGTACATGGCCAACGAGAAGTCTATCATTTGACAACCCCGCTCATATCAAATGGTTATGGCTGTTGTGGGCCACATCAAAAAAATTGGAACCAATCGAGCAATGCCACCTCAGGTGGTGGCGAGAAGTGACGTTTCTGGTTTGGGCTCATGTGACAAGTTGTCGCACGGCATGCTTTTGCGTACCGATCGAGATACTTATACCCAGGTGTGTGGCTTCCCTTTAACATTCTTCACTAGGCATTATCAGCATTCATCTCACGAATAACATTCTTTGGTTCTTTCGGTAAAGTCACGTAGGTAGAAAATAATAGATCACGACGTTCGGATCGCAACACAAGCAACCGTCATCAGGTGAGATCAACACAGCCGGGGAACTGCTGACGAAGGAGCTGACTAAGGAGCAGTTTCCCTGCTGCGTCGATCTCACCTCATGATGATTGCTTGTGTTGCGATCGAAACGTCGTGATCTATTATTTTCTACCGACGTGACGTTACCGAAAGAACCAAAGAGTATGGATTCCTGCAGTCACGAAAGCTTCAAATCCATATTAATCCTATTGCCAGGCCCTCTGCCAACCAATGGATGGATGAAGACCTCCGCACGGTGTGCCGGTCATGAGGGTTTCGCTGACTTCACCACATTGGTCAATGCGGATTGGTGAAGGGGGTAGTTCAGGACCGGTTCACATGTCGCTCGCCGCTGATGTACGGTCATAGCTGGAAATCAATCTCGGGTTAGAGGGGCTCATGGCACCGTGCACGAATCGCACGACAGAACTGACGTTTGATTAGTCGTTATGAAAATACAGTTGAGAAAAAATCAAATATCCATTCCGTTGGCATCTTGGCGCAGTCAGTCAAATTGGGTGCACTGCAATATTTCCGAAACAATGAACTTGCATACATTCCTTGTAACGAAAGTCACATTAGTTAGAGGTCTCTCAGGGGTTGCCAACCAGGTGGCTAAGCGGTTAAATCGAGCGGCTCACAATCGCGAGGTTGCGAGTTCAAATCCTGGGTGAGTGTTCACTCGGCCCCATTACCGCTCCGAGGTGATGAAAATTAGTACCACTTTGTGGGGAAGTCAACAGTGGTTGTTCTATGGGCAGACCCGTTCCTGCTGTAGGAATGTGGAATTTCCACCACTGGCTCAGGGCTGTAAAGAGGAGATGAGTGCCACCACCATGCTCATTTCGGCAGAAAATGACTTCTACTTCTGAGCATAAAATAGTCATCGGAAGCGGGGTTTTTGGCCCAAGAAATTGGTACAGCGGTGTCTCTGGGTGCCACTAAAGATTCCCAAATAGCTCGAAATGCAACCGAATAAAAAGAAAAGCCCATGTAGCAATAGCAGTCTGGTGGCTAAACATAGCTTTCAGAATGTATACGAAATTAATATTTTCAGGAAAACTGCATCCACGTGATTGTTTTACCGTATATTTTTTTATTCGGTTTTTAGCAATACGGCGTCGTGTGTTTTTAGCACCATTGTTATTTTTTACAGCCTGTTTAAATGTTAAGTCCAGACAGCGGTACAATCGACGTGTACCTACACTCACGAAATGTCGAATGTGTCAAAGGTGCGGCCCTGCAATTGAACTGCTCTCGCCACTGCTGCCAGGAAGGGCCTCCCTGCGAGAACGAGCTCCAGAGTGGGTATTTTTGTCTACCCATCCACAGGCTGACTGCGCGTGTTGGACGAGGCAATTACTCTGAACGCATTGTCGCCTCACACTTGGAACGTGGTGGCCAGGGTCATTTTACGTGGATGTGTGGCGGTCACACTTGGCCTGGGACAGACTGTACTCGGTATGGAGCCAATGGAAAGATGATCTATCTGCCATAGCCTTGGCTGTAATTGTACCCACTGCGAATCCTTCTATCAAGCAGTGCAGCTGTGAAACCACTGTAGCACTGACACGTTTTCGAGGTATACAACCACTGTCGATGTACCCCACGTATTTAAAAATGCGAACGTTCGGCTTACTTGGATACGAGGTTTCATGAATGTTAATGAAGCTCACAAAACAGGCCTATACAAGAGTGATGATGGAAGAGCAAGGCTCATATTGGTAGATATTCTAGATTGATTGGTGGTTCCCTACCCTAATAGGGGCGCCGCGGTGGCGAGGTGTTAACTCCCTTGCCGAGTATGCAGGAGGTTGTGGGTTCGATCCCGACCCCTGACGCCTGCTGTATATTTAGAGTTTGCATGTTCTCCCTGTGGTCCTCCGGTTTTTCACTCCACATTTGGAAACATGCGTTTTAGAGTATTTGGCTGCTATAAATTTCCACGTGATAAGGCACTTCGTTGAGCTATCATTTACGGCCAGGTCGCTTCTGATAAAGGGCCACATAGCTCAGTGCCTGGTAAAATAAATACAATTAATGGTTTCAATTACAGACTACCACGCTAATTTAATATCGAAACAATTATGGGTAAGGAAAGATCTCCCTGAGGTTATTGTTTTTAAGACCCAAATGCAGTAAAGAATGCAGTGTTTTTGTGAAAGAAATTCGTTTCTGTTTAGCTGAGCAGCGGTGGCTATGCAGGTGGCCTTGTAATCCCTCACTGTGGAGACGAGTGTTGGCAGATTACACAAATGTTGTGTAACTCCCTTCCCGTTGACAAGAGGAGGTGCCATTACCCTGGGTCGCCAAGAAAAGGCTGTAGAGGAAAAATATTATTTATCTCTGTATGAGATAAAGTGGTGCCCCCTCACACACGTGAGTTATTTCAGAGCCGCTCCAGTTTCCTCCCACATGTAAACATTCATTAATTGGTTGAAATACATCTTAATATATAGGGGACCGCTGAACTTGGGCAATTGCTGGCACTGGCTCACCACCTGGCTGCCCTTTCCGCTTGTCTGCGGTTCCTCGTCACACTCTCGTTGTGAGTGAGCGAACACTGCGCAGCACGTTACAAGCTGAAACCATGATTACTATTATTCTGCGAACCTCTTCCCACTGGACTTTTGAACCACAGGTTTGGAAAACAATGGTTGAGGACATTCTGCAGAATCGCACCACTTTTTGAGACGAATGCTCTTGCCGTCATTTTAAACAAATCCAATCCGTCGTTGTCGTAGCGAAATGTATTTTCCGAACCTTTTCCCTCGTCTCGAGACATCTAAAATCGTGTGCGCTCGATGCAAATTGCACGGCGCGCGTGTAGACCACGCGAACGTTTGGCACAAATGCACGACAGTAGCTCTCAAAGCAGCGCAACGCAACCTGGCGGAAGAGGCACTCCTAGGGCCTCGTCGTGAGCAATATTTTGGTACCAACTCTCATTGAGAAACATCGAGTGCATGAGATAGCCAACTGTGACTCGTGTTTTTCACCAAAACGTATCACAAAAATTATCTTAACCCTTTCCTCTTGTCTTCCTATTCCGTTCCAACGACGTACGTATGTGTACGTCGTTGGAACAACATTGTAAAAAAACTAAAATAACATAACTTTATCGGTATGTCTTCAGGTCAAAAACGCGTACCCAGGTTCCCACAAGGCCATGCGGGAGGGCGTGTTGCACAATTTGGTGCCACATAGAGTGCAGCCGTGTTACTACTTTTCTCTGCGCTGAGTACAATGTCTTTAAAAACGACAGTGCTAAGCCTCTCAAAATAAAATGAATGCTGACCGCTTGCACGTTCCGAGATTCATCAGTGAATGGGACCCACCCTGCAACTTGCAGATGTACCGGAATGAGAAAGGGTTTAAGTAACAGACCCCCATATGAGCATTAACATTGTGATGGTGCAATAAAACATAGCAGGGTTACATGTTTTACCCTGCCCCCTCCTCGCCCCCTGTCCTCCCATTCCAACTCCCCCCCCCCCTTTCCCTCGACAGTGATGAGGGAGGTGGGGGGGGAGGGATATTTGATCAAACTCAGCTCCGGACAGCTCCGGCTGAAATGAATCCCTGAGATATACTATATTGCACGTGGCAAATTACTTTAAATGTGGAATTGCCAATTCGTCAAGTGTACGATGATACGAGTTTGCACATTATTTTTCGATCTTGTTACATCTTGAAGGGCACCGCGGCGGCAAGATGTTAACTCCCTCGCCTGGTATGCAGGATGTCGTGGGTTCAATTCCGACACTGACGCCTTCTGTATATTTGGAGTTTGCATGTTCTCCCCGTGGTCGCGTGGATTTTTCTCCGGGTCCTCCGGTTTTTCCCCCCACATTTAGAAACAACGTGAGTTTAGAGTATTTGGCTGCTATACATTTCCACGTGATAAGCCACTTTGTTGAGCTGTCATTTGTTGGCCAGGTCACCTCTGCAAACAGCTACATAGCTCAGTGGGCCTTACTTGGTAAAAAAGTTGTTGAACCGGTGCTTGATAAATGGATATTCTTGCCTTCAAACTTGATTTGGAGCTTTCGTGACTGCAGGAATTACTCGTTGGTTCTTTCGGTAAAGTCACGTAGAAAGAGAAAATAATAAATTAAATTATGGAAACTTAGCAATCTTTGTAAGAACGTAACCAAACAGGTGGGGTGTTGACTGCTATGTTAGCCGACTCTCTGTGTTGTATTGCATTATATTTCTAAGTTTACTATGTTTGTTTTCTCTTTCATTTGTACCTGATGATGGTTGCTTGTGTTGCAATCGAAACGTCGTGTGCTGTTATTCAATTTATTATTTTCCCTTTCTACGTGACTTTCCCGAAAGAACCAAAGAGTAAGTCTTGCCTTATTGACACGTCACTTTGAAACGTATCAATATTATCTACAGTATTTAAATAAACAGGGATTTACCAGACTGACGATGTTAACATTAAACAAAGGTAGATGACAACTTACAGTTGAAACCGTAAATGATCATCAGAATATGCATTCATATATTTTTATATGTATCGATGCTCGCAGACTGTTACGTTCTCATGATGTCACCGGTCAGTGGTAATGTATTTCTTTTTCGTTTGTATCGCATCGCGTCGACGGAAAATTATTTCAGAACGAGTGCAGTATTAAAATAAATATATATTTTAAAGACTCGTACGTCGTATTGCATTATCGCTTTTAACAACATTAAAATGTTGCCCCGACACTGTAAGAATGTTATTAAGTGTATGAGACTGCATTTCATTAACATTAATCATTTATGTCGAATAAGTGCTGTGCGTCATGGGGACTCTTAAAAACATGATACGGCACCACCAGCAGTCCCTTTGCTGCCTTCCCTGCACTCACAACCCTACCCCCACCCCAGCACTCAAGCTGTAAAGATCAGGGCTGTCCCTACAGCTCGCAGGAGCCCATCGGAAAGCCATCGAATGCATATGGCGTTCTACCCATTATTGCATTCCAAAATGGGACAATAGAATGTGCCCGATCGCATCAGATCTCAGAAGCTAGGCAGAATTGATCCTGGATGGTATTTGTAAGACCCGACGAAGGAGCGGCCCTG